TTTAAGGGATGGCTGGAGATGAAATTCATTTTTAAACCAGGCATTCAGAAAAAGTAGTGAAGGAAGAAACACAATTCATTTTTCTGAACAAAACAAGACATCAATTCCACAATGAATATATCCATAAATGATCATTTATTACCTTAAAAGAAGTGTTTCTAGCCCACTCTGGCAACCCTGTGGTAATTCTCTTGCAGGTTGTAGAACCATGTTCTTGCTAATGGCAGGAGCTAACCAGCTGTCAAGAAGCAAGCTTTGCTAACATATTGTTGGGATAATGAAGGTAACATAAATTAAATGTGTTTGTTGGTGCTGCCACCTCTCATGCCACCTAGCTCTGAAGAATCTGTGCTTGGATTAAATGAAACAATAGCGGTGTAAAGAGTCTGCTAGAGTATAGCATAGTGGATGAGTCTACTGACACATCCAGCTCTTACAGCTTCAATGATACTGGCCAGTGCAAGGAGACAACTGCCAAAATCATCTCAAATCAGCTGGTAGATAGCCACTACTATATGAACAGGAGGAAAACTGAAATGAAGCACTACTAGACAAATTGATTTTGATAGTGCAGAGAATACAGTAACAGTTTAGGCAGAATGAGGGCAGTGGGCAAGCCATAAATTCACCAGCAGCACCGTGCAGAGATCAGCGACTGAAACAGGAGTACCCAGAGCGTGGCTTGTGGGGACAGCCAACTCTGTGCACAAAACACCTTTCACTGCACTGGGGAAGGAAAAACCACGCTCTCCTATCAGGTGAACGATGGTCCCATCATTTGAAATGCTACCAATTTTTCTGAGATATTTTATCATCCTTCCTTCAAAGGCATAGAGGTAGCCTAAAAAGCCCACGGACTTGAATGTAACTGCTGGTGGTGTAGTCAATCACTATCTCCTTCCTTAAACTTGGCTCCCAACTAGCTTTGGGATTTGATATTTGTGCACCTGAGGGATGTGTGAGCTGATACCGTGTACTTTTTCAGGTGGTTCCAGCTCCTCCTGGGTTTAATAACAAAAACATTTTCAGGCTGTACCGTCCACGGAGCCCACCAATGTTGATCATATAAGTAATTCTTGAATTTTATGCACCAAACATCCATATGACTAAGTGTCTGCTACACTGCCCAATATTTTTTGTTCATTTGAAATATGAGCTTTCATAGGGAGATGCATAATGCGATCTGAATTTTTCTAATACATTTGAATAGCAGTCAGACCGGAAGCTGCTCTTTATACACTAAAGAACACATACAATCCTTCCACACCTCCTTGCAATTTTCCCCTAATTCCCACCCAGCACCTTTCCTCGCAACACCATTCTGCACTGAATACAGTCAAGTGGAACACATGTAAGGAAAGCCAGTATTTTGCCTTTGCCTGAGAAAAGCTGAACACATGAGCTGTGGATATAAAGAAATGAATGAACAGATGCCTACTTAAACTGGAAGACATACAGAAGATACAATTTCATAGTTCACAGTTGCGCTCAGTGCAGTGGATCCCTGATCTCTCAATTTCTACCATGCAAATCATCCTCCCTATGTATCAGTGCGATGTTAACACTAACAACAAGCAGTGCTTCTATAATAGTAGGCTGTCATCATTTCAGGGAAATTCTTCAGCAAGACTTTAAATCAGGATTGGAAATGTAAAATCTGTAAGAACAACAATAACTACCAAAAAAAAAAAAAAAAAAAACCTAAAACAAACCCCCAAACCCCCAAAAAACCCAACCCAGGGAACTATAGTTCTCCTTGAATAGGGAGTAAAAACCCTTTCTAATTCTGAACATGACAGAATTTTTAATTTTCAAATTACTATGCAAGAAGTAATTAAGTCATCTTTACAAAATGCTTTTGAAGAAAAATTATATAAATATGTTCTCAATTCTGCTTCTCAGATGAGGAATCACACAGTGTATTCGGGCAAAAGGAGGTTTTCAGGATCCAGTTCAGTGCTACTCCCTTAGCACAGTGCTGTCTTTACAGAGAATTGATCAGCTGAAAACAAATGGGATGCAATACTCTTGATATTTATACAGTACAAAAGGTGAAAAATCCTGATCCTCACACTATGAAACTCACTTCGTGCAGACACCCCATAGCAGAAGATACTTTTACCATGTCACTGCACCGTAAGACAACCACATATGTGTTTGTGGCAAGTAGTTTATATGGATATCAGGCTCCAAGGTGCTTCACAGTATTTTTATAGCTTACATCACCAGGCTCTAGCATGGGAAGCTTGTTTCATTGAATTTTAGTGGCTGCACCTGCTCAGTCTCCCATGCTGTTGTATTAGGAGTCAGCTAGGTGGTGCTCATGGGGTGGCAGCCGATGTGCAAAGTTAGTACTGGGATTTTGCTCCAGGCCCCTTCCCCCGCCCCCGACATCTCACACAATCTAAACAAGTTGTCACAAATGAAAAACCAAGATCGGGAGGAAGGGACTGAAGGAGGTAGGTGAAAGGAAACTGCATCTCGGATACTGTATGAGCACAGATCCTTACACAACCGCGCTGGCCTTTGAAGGCTGGGATGCAAGTATGAAGCCGGGGCTGGTTTTGTTGTACATGAGCCAGCTCATTTGCTCCTACCTGGCAGCCTGAAAAGAGCACAGTACTGACAACTTAAGAAGGAACCATGTTGCTGGAGAGACCTGACAATTTGGAAGTTGTTTTTCCTCTGACAAATAACAACCCTAGTTGTAAGCTTCATCATGATCTGATGGAGTGTGTCTTTACGGATGTTTGAAGTTAGAATTAATTAGTAGCTTTTAGCGGTCTGTGAAGTTGCCTAGTTTTGCTGGATTAATTGCATACTGCAGATACTACCATATAAAGACATACTGTGCTAACTCCCAGTAAATATGAAAAACCTTAAAGTGCTCAGGGGTAGTAGACAGATTTTGGTGTGGACATACTACTCAGGATGTAATACAACATCCATTGAGTGGCAGAATACTTATAAATTCTTAAATCTGAAGATCCCACTTGGCCCCTTGGGCTGAAAGTTTGTATGAAAATTTCATTTCAAAATGACAAGCCCAAATGTGCACAAGAATGGTTTTCTAAATAAAACCCTAGATCATTTTTTATTCATCTTATGTCTAGAATGCCCAGAGGCATATCTCCATAAAAATTTTAAACTTTAAACAAGAGCTCCTTTTGAGTTACAGGGAAACAAAACATTCTGAAAGCAACAGTTTATATTTTTTATTGTGATGTTTACTTATCAAGAGAGGTTGATGAGTTAATTCTCAGTAGAAGTGCTGAATTACGTTAGGAGCAGAAGCCCAATTAATTAAGGATCATTTCCTATTGATTTCACTGTACTACAGATCAGACACAGAGCCCCTGCTATAATCCTATATAAAATATAAATAATAAACAATAATATACTTAGACTAGTTACTGCTGTCCTGATTACCTTTAATTCTCACTGAAGTAACACTTCTAAGATTTTGATGGGAACACCATAAAAGCCAGAATGCCTCTTGAAAGAAAGAGAACAGGAAAAGCCCAGAAGAGGCACTATGCACACACCAGATCTAAGACAGTAGCCAAATGAAGAGGCAGGTTTAGAAAGCAGACAAAAGTGGAAATAAATACATTTGTTTTGGAAAAATCAAAAGGAGAAAACCTGATTTCATGCCTAAAACTGAATAAAAAATTCTACAGAGCACAAAACCTGAGTACATTTGGGATACACACTATGGTCAGACTTCAAGCCCAGATTCAACTCACAATTTCATTATGAGCAGCAAACAAGCCCTGGAAATCTCCTTACTTGACCACTTTGATCAGCATGCTGCATAGCCATGAAGCACCAGGACGTGGATTTTCTCTCTACATGTGCTCATCCATCCTCAGGATCATCCAGAGACCCACGCTGGGGCCTTCAGCCCTTCATGGCCCCACTGTCGACAGCCATTCCACATAAAGCAGGAAAGTAATCAGCTCTGTTGTCCCTGCTCTTATAACGTCATAATGAGAGTTTGTGTGAAGTTTTGTCTCAGTTTGCAGGGAAGTATCACTGAAAGATTACTGCAGAAAGACAGATGTGTTGGGGTCAGTCTGGAAAATATAGCGACTATTACATGTGTTGTCAGAATGCTCTATTAAGAAATTCAGAAAGTTCAGCATTCCTTTGGTACGACCATATTTACTTATAAACAGTGAACACAAAATTGTGTTGTCTGAGAGACAAATACAGAATCAAGTTGTTTCACTACAATTTTCAGATCTGCTTCTATTGGTTCCAGCGCCTGGAGGTATGCTGCCTCTGCTTCCTCTTAAAGCTAAGGTCTCTCAGCCTTGTCTCTGTCTGATGCCTTTCTCAACTTCTTGACTGCTTTCTGCCCCCAAAGCCGACGCAGCAGTATCAAGCCTGTGACCTAGCTTTTGTGTTTGTACTATGTCACTAAAAAGACCACTGGGCCATAAAGATCCAATTTTTGCTAAAGGTTGCCAGGCTAACTACTAATTACTGTCTTGTACATCAGCTTCCCTTTCAGCTCTCACTGTCTACACTGCCTTACATTTTCTTTTCACTTAGCCTAAAGAAATGACAGAAAGCACACCCATAAAGTTTAGCCACATTCACAAGTCATGGTGTTCATCAATATCACACAGAACTGCAATAACATGAAAAATATTTATCTTTACTTAGACTGTAAGACTGGGCAAGTGACTTGAGCTGAGTCCTTATACAAGGCTGAAAGTTGTGAAAAATAATGCATAAAGGTATCAACTTTAGAAAGATCTCTATGTACCTTTATTATCTAAAAGAGAAAGTGAAATCATATCTTCTTGTTATAGCAAGGAGAAAAGGAGAAAAGGAAGATGGGAGCAGTGCTTGGTATGTCTGCAGTCAACATGCACTGAGAGCAGGAGGAGGGCAGGATGGCTAAAATCAGTCTACTGACTCACCAGGAAAGCATCCTCCAAGACCTGAGGGCAGGCTCCTCAAGAAGCAGCAGATATATTAGCAAAGCTCCTGGCTCTTCACCACTGGGCAGCAGTCCTCCCAAGCAGGGATGCAGGGAGTGGGGCTAGCAGCAACGGTCATCTTTGAAAGCCTGTAGAAAGGTACAAAAGAAGAGCAGAAAATGGAAGGTCTTGGAGCCTTTGACTTCTGTACATTAACCTCAGCCTATGCGAGCTTAGACTCAGCAGGAGAACACGTGTAATCACAGAAAATGGCCTTTTCATTTCTTCTACTGGTTACATTTCAGGTTTGCCTAGATAGAGAGCCATGAAGATAGGCTTGACTGGATGAGGCCATTCTTTGGCCTCAGTAACAAAAGGACTCAAGGAAGTGATCAAATCCAGTAAAGAAAGCATTTTAAATGCTCATCAATTATTTAAAATGATACATTATGTGAAAATAATCATTCCAGATCTGAGAGCATGTGTACTAAATGTGAACATGACACAGGAGGAGCTGCGTTTTTCATGGGGAGAAGTGAAATCTGGGGGGAACTAATTGCTGTCTTCAGCTACCTTTAAGGGGGTTGTAGGTAAGAGAGCCAGACTTCTCAGTATCTCACACTGAAAGGATGAGAGGTAATGACTTAATTGGAGCAAGGGCAATTATAAGTGGATGCAAAGAAAAACATTCTTCATGGTGAAGCTGTTCCACCACTAGAGAAAGTTCCCTGAGAGGCCTAGGGATCTCCGTCCTTGGAGTTTTTCAAAAAGCTTAACTTTTTCTACAATGTGGGGCTCATAAGTCAAACAAAAAACTCAAATTGAAGTTGAGACAATTCATGGAGGAAGGCTGTAGACATGTGTCCTGTTTCTGCTGCCACTGACGTATTTGTCCCCTACCCTCCCCTGCTTCTTTTCACCACACTTCAGGGTGCCATGGATGCATCAGCATAAATGCAAAACACAGCCACTCCCCAGATCCATCTACCTGAGTTAAAAGTTTTGCATGGTTTAGCCTATTTTATGTTTCAGTGTCTGCTGAAAGGGTAACACAAAGTTGAGCAAAGTACATTTTCAACACCCTGGTTAAGAGGGTATCTATCATATGCCTGACCTCCAAGGGCATAAACACAGGTTTAGGAACAACTAGATTCAGGGAGATAGACATTGCTGTAGTTTATATTTGTTACTGTTCTTTCCAACTAGTAATAAATAAAAACCCCAAAAGGCATCGTTTTGGATAGACACAGCAGGAGCTCGCTTCACTGAAAACAAGGCAGGAGCCTTACCTGCCAACATGCCATTACATAACTCCCTCCATACCCCCTAGTTGCACAGAAGGAGCACAGCATCAATATGAAAATGACCTGATATGCAGGTGCCCACACCCGGAACAAGGACCAGGATCCAGAGATAAATGTTGGAGCACGAGCAGGACAGGAGGCCCATGCAACCTGCACTAGCACATTGAAACCTGTTCAGTGAGTGCTGGCTGCCTGCAGCAGCGACCCACCTGCAACACGATCCTCGGCTGGGGCAGCTTGGTAAAGGACAGCACCATCCCCTCAATCCAGCTCATCCTTCAGTGTTGCAAACAAAAACATCATGGAGATAAAGTCCAAGTCACCAACGCAAGTAAAAAGGGGAGGAGCTAAAAAGACAAATGTCAGCTTCTGCACAGTGTGAATTCATAGTCATAACTATTTTTATTATTATTAGCCTAGTAACTATGTTAATGAGCAATGTAAATAAATACAATTACAAAAATAATCTAAAAATTCAGTGCATAAACAGCAGTTACTCAAGGTTGCTTAATAATTCATTTTACTCAGTTTCAGAGTAACTTCCACCAGAAAAAATAACAAAAGACCACAAAAAAAACAGAACCCAGAACACCACTGTGTGTGCTGTGAACTCCTGTTCCTGTGGAGTCTTTAATGTTTTGGAACATGATATACAGCAGACATAGTATTTTATCAGGTTTTTTCATACATTTGTTTTCCTTAACCTGTGTTTCCATCCAAGCAAATTTTTGTCAAAGCAAGCCTCGAGTTTTTGTGAGAGAAAAATCCTCATGGTAGCAAAAGAAAAGAATGTGACTGCAGAGCAGGGCAGTTGGCATATGCAGGACATATACCGTAGCCGGGACATCCAGCCTGCGGGGTGTTTATGCCTACCGAGGCTGGGCACTGAAATGGGGACTCCAAACCCAGGGCACAGGAAGCCCCTCTGCAAACCCTGGCTGCACTTAATCGATCTATGGGCAAAACTGGTACATTCACACAAGAGCTTGCTCACCTCAGGCCTCACTTGTGATGCCATTGGCTGTATGAATGCCCTTAGCTTCACTATTTCTTTTTCTTTTAAAATCTGTACATTTGTCCATGTGATGGAAAATAAAGTAGGACACAGTTAAGTCTAATGTGTTTCTCTTAAACCTCACCACAACTACATGTTTTTTCCATTGCAGCAGATAATATTACAGAGTTGGTCATTTTCCATAAAAAAAAAAAAAAAAAAAAAAAAAAAAAGCAAATTTTCAATCACTTAAAAATTGTTTCAACTTTTCCAACAGTACCTTCTGAGTGCAAAGTAGCCATACAGCATCTCATAACATATGTGATAGTGTGTTATATCAAATGGTGCTCATTTGGAACAAGCATAGATTGCAACACAAAGACAAGGCAAAATAAATAAGAAATGAAAGGAAAAATAATAATAGTGCGAGGTAGTTTTTTTTTTTTACCCCTCAGAGTTCAATTTAGACACAGTGGTTATTGATTTAATTTCACAGCACAGGCCCAAGGTGATAAAAGATAGCACAGTATAATATACACATAACAAGGGAAATAATGGAAAAATAGGAAAGTGGTTTTCTTTAACTAGTCTCATTTTGCTACTACATTGTTGCCCACATTGATCCTTTTTATTTATTAACAAATAGTAAAGTAGATTTTTTAAGAGGGAGGAAAAGAAAAATTAATTTTGAAATTTTAATACTGTGGATGGTTGAAAAGTTTCTTGTGAAACTTTACAAGAAAATTAACTTTCAAACTAATCCTTTCTCTTAGAAGTGTTTCTTTTCCATGGCAGAGAGTTGATTTTTTTTAAAACTGGAAAATATAAAGGTGGGGAGATGAAAAAAAGATTAAGCCAAAATCAAAAGGGATTTTTAAAAATATGAGTTATTGCAACACCTCATAAAAGTTGTATTTCAGATAGCTTATATTCCTTTTCCATCTACGCCTCTGCAGCGAGCTTCCCAGTTGAACAGTATATCCTCTCACACATGGGACTCTGGGGCAGCTCCCTGGGCTGCCAGAGCTCCAGTCAGAGTCATGCTGTCCCAAGGGAAAACAAGGAACCACACATCAGAACCATAACTCTGTAAGATACAGTGGAAAACTTTTTGATTGAAATAACTGATTATCAGATTCAAGTTTTACTTAATTCTACCTCTTTCCCCCCCCCACTCCCCCCTTTTCAAATAAAAGAGATCAATGGCAAAAAGAAGCATTTTCTCACTGTAACAGAAGGAGCCTGAGTCAACGCTGGTCATTTTTTTTTTTTTCTTGTTACTATTTCTTTGGTAGCGTGGAGCCCTGAACCACAGGTGGGGAGATAGGATCTACACCTGGAAAAGATGCACAAATTTACAAACTTAAAGCCTGCCACAGATCATTCAGTCTGTTATGGATCAGTAGTTTCCCAAGGTTTACCCATCCACTAAGCAGCAACTGCTGCAGTACCTGTTTCCAGGAGGAATTTTGAAACACTAAGGTAGTTGAAGCATTATGGCAGCAGGATTGCCTTCCTGGCACCTACACAGACAGCTGGCTCTGACTTGGTTCCTAATGCTTTACATTAACATCAATTCCCTGGTTTTGAAAGATCTGCTCTTTCAAGCATAGGTGGAAAAAAAGATGTTTTTTAAAAGCCCTGCTTTTCATAGCAGAAAATCCTACAAGCTACCATGTTTAGCTTAGCTTATGTTCCATGTTTTACAATTTTTATTTAAATTGCCCATAAGCCCTCTCCCTAGAAGAAGGTGGACAAATGGTCCCATCGCGTTTTATACAAACCCCTTCAAGCACGATTTGGAAACTGTCCCAACTCTGACACTCAGTGTAAACACCAACATATTTTTTGATGTTTTTCCATCCAAATTCAGTAGTACAGCATGAACTTGCCTCAAATAATAATAACACAGAGCAACTCCCCCAGGGTGTAGATAATATATGTAATCACAAGAGTCTCTGCCTATTCAAGTTAACACTTCTTAACAACAGATGTAATCTTCAGTGAAACCAAGCTTTTACAAATTGCTGTTAATATGAATCACGTTTAACTTGTCTAAGTATCTCTTCTAAAGAGCTTATGTTTTCCCTAGAGTTATTTAAATTAGGAAATCTTAACCACTAATTGAATATGAACTTTAATATCTGAGCAGGTCATCTTCACTTCTGAAATGGAGGCTGAAGGACTTCACTGCTCAGACTAAGTGAGGTGAACATGTCTGACTTACTTTGCATAAAATCTTCATGATATGGTAAAGGTTTGATGGGCACTGTTTCAACAGGTCTTGGGGGTGAGGAGTATCAGGTGATGCTTTCAGACATCTCCCAACAGCTCAAGGTGGTATGTCACTGCCATACAACATGTCAGGTCATGCATTCATTTTCACTGTTCAGGCATGTGATGAATTAGAAAGGACTTCAGTTCAAGAGCTTGTCTACTTTTTTTTTAAATGCACTGAATATATGCTACATTCAAACATCATTAAGATTTATAAACTACCTGTTGCACATATTTTCAGAACAGAGAAAAGGAGGCTTATTGCTTTTAGGCCACCAGATCATTGCTGCATGTCAGTGCAGGTATTGAATTTGGTCTAATATTTTAAAAGTCCTCCAAAGCAACAGACCTTTATATCTCCTAAGGATTTTGCAGACAGTTCAAAACTGTACTTTAGTATTTTTATACAGTGATAATGGTTCAAAAAGCCATTTTGTACTGTTAATTGCATTCTATTTTGGTGGAGTAAATTTAGAATATACATATTTAACCAGACATAATGCTGCCAGAAAAGTACTTAATCAGCAGATGAATGTACATTGAAACAAAAGCTGTGAGCACATTTATCCAGTTAGGTGTGAATATTGCCATAATGGCTCTAATGGAGGGTAGGGAAATGGGGCAGCAAGGAAGAGAAATCACACAAAGCATCACTAATCCCATAAATGCAGAAAAAGGAAAGATAACAAGCACAATATTAACTTAAAACTCATAATGTTCCTTTTTTTTTTTTTTTTTTTTTTTTTTTAAAGTTAAAGGATAGTTTTGCTGCAAAAGCAAGTTTCTCTTCTTTAACTCAGGTAGAACTGTGAATGCATACTAAGCCTTCCAGCTGGAGTTGGACTTTCAGCACAGTATATTTCAATTTCAATCCAATTCAAATCAAACCCAACTGTGTTCCCCCGATCACCACCAGTTTTCCTCAATACAGAAACTTGATTTTTTTTTCAGAAGTATCAATACATTTTGGTTTTATCTTCCTATAACACAGTGAGATATACATGCATGGTAATTGTGCAGTTTCTATATATCTTTTTGATTTTCCACCTGAAGGGCAAGATACTATAATCAAGAATGGTAGATATGATATTTCCTCATGTATTTAAGACAAGAGGTGGAAGACTGTACACAAGCTATATATGTGGTTGCTTCACAAACCCTTCCCTAAAGGTCACCTTCTGGCACCTGTGATGGAAAGAGGTAGGTTTGGCATAGGGAGAACTACTGGGGTTCAAAGATATAGCAGAGAGAACAAGGCAAGCAGGGCTCGCTATTTCAGCCCCAGCATCACAACAGCAGCCAGAACAGACTCTTGCAAAGATAAACTCCTGCAGGTGAAAAAGGGATACCTTTTACTAAGGGCTTTGAGTAGCCTGTGCCAGGTCACAGTGGCTGAGTTGCTCTCTGTTCAACCAACTTTATTACAAGACAGGTAGAAAGGATTCACCTTGCAAGAAGTGAAGTAAAAAGCAAAACAAAAGTCAATGTAAAAGGAGATCTGTCCTCAAAAAGACTATCTTTGCTTTTGAAGTTGCTTTGTTCTCCATTGGGCTTGTGTAAAACAAAACCTGAGAAATGCAAATACTTCCAGTATGCTTGCTTGAAGGGACGGTACTTTGGCAGCAGTAGGTCTGTCCCAGTGCCATGGCTGCTCAGGACTGCCCCTGGCTCAGGATCCCACTCTGCTGGTACCTTAAGCCTCCTGGTTCAGTCAGTAGTAGGAGCTGGGCAGCCCAGGGAGAAAATTGCTTTGGGAATCTGAAAAAAACCTGAAGGAGGGTTGAAGTGAGAGCTGGGAGCTCTCAGTTCCTGCAGGTCTTGGGTCTGGTGAGGGACTACTCCGAGACTTAGACCCAACCAGGCCATGAGGAACTGGCTAGACAGCTGCAGGGAACCCGTCAGACTTTCTGACTGGCAGACAAGAGGCAAAATGAAAATACATTTCATAGAATCATAGAATACCAGGTTGGAAGAGACCTCAAGGATCATCTGGTTCGACCTTTCTTGGCCAAAGTACAGTTGAGACAAGATGGCCCAGCATCCTGCCCAACTGAATCTTAAAAATGTCCAATATTGGGGGATTCACTACTTCCCTGGGGATGTTATTCCAATGGCTGATTGTTCTCATTGTGAAAAAATATCCTTTTGTGTCCAGTCAGAATCTCCTCAGGAGTAACTTGTACCCATTACGCCTCACCTTTTCTGTGTGACTCCATATAAAAAGGGAACCTCCATCTTCTTTGTAGCCACCCTTTAAATACTGGAACATGGTGTTACTGGAATATTTGGCTTTCATTAACTTGTCTATCAAAAAAAAACAGCCGCTTGTTAGAAAGACTGACCTCTTCTCTGTGTTGCAGAACTCAATGTGAAATACACAAAGTCATGGATAGATATATACATAACATATGCACCCATCCCCAGAGGAAGACAGTCATGAAGGGCAGCACATATGTTCAACAGCTTTGCAAAAGTGTAGGAAAAGGAAGGGGAAAAAAAACCCTAATTTCCCCAATTTCCTCACAGGAGTCACTTGCTTTTTTACCCCCACAATGGCTAGAGTCAAAAGCTAGACTACATTTCTTTTCTCTGATGTACACAACAGAGATTCCCATGATGCAACTTCTCCTTACCTTCACAGAAGAGGTCTTTTTCATAGATGTATCACTCAACCAGGAGATGATGAGACACTGTGGCAACATTTTTTTTTAATCCAAATATATCTGTAACTTATAAAAACATGAAGTTTCCAGAAAATGGGGGGAGGGAGGCGAGGGGGGGTGAAATTTGCAACATTTTTTGTACTAAGAAAATCTACCTTCAAGGCACCTGTAATTAAAACAGCTGCATATAATCCTCCCACATTTGGTAACTTTACAGACACACAGAATTGTACAAGGTAACAATTTTCAGAGAGCAAAACATTTTCTGACTCTGTATAACCCACAGTCATACACCTTCTTGAATGCTGCTTCCAGCCACTCTGTCTATTAACAAACTACTATAGGCATAACTGTTAATTATACATAATACTAAGGTTGCCCAACACATTCCATTTTGAATGTGTTTTCAGCTGCTAATGGCTTTGCCAAACTTTAATGTTCTATGCCATTGTCTGCCTCAAGTTAATTAGCTCTGTAAAGTATAGAATACAAATATAACACGCCATGTACTCGCAGAGCTTTGCCCAGATTAGAAGAAATTATAAATGATTAATTGAAAAAAATCCAGTTATCCATGTCATGTTTTGATGAGCGGATCTGAAATATGGCAGGAGGTAGTTTTTGTGTTAAAAACGTACTCATTGGTGTTGCTCTGAAAATCTGTATCACATCAACCATCTTAAAAATTTTGTACATTTTCCCTTACCCTCCATATCAACATGCTTATTCTTAGGAAAAGATACTTATAGTTTAGCAACTCAAGTCCCAACAATGGGCTACTGCGAATTAGCCAATATGCACAAATTTGGCAGGGAAGATTTCATCTTGTGCTCTTCTGCTTAAATTTCTTCTGGACTGGGGCAGTGGAGAGGAGGACAACAGGGAGATCCCAATGTCAGCAGTAACAAAACAGATGGACAGGGGCTGATATTAGGGACACTGAGTACAGACTGGGAAGTGGAGCCTTACAACAGACAACTGGGAAGAGAGAGAAACCAGGAGAGTGGAGGAGGGGTGAGAAGTTGTTTGGTGGCCATCAAGAGACAGACTGGGAGAGAGATGGAAACCAGGAATGAGCAGGATAGCTGGAAGCAAATGAGTGGTGGATAAATGGAGATGAGGAAAGAGAAGGAGCCCAGGAGTCAGGGCTCTGCTCGATAGGACTGAGAACAAAGGCACGGGCACACTTGCAGTAAGTTTCACCTGGGTCTCCCGCAGCACAGAGGTCCTCTAATGAGTGATGTACAAGCCGTGAACTGACAGAGACAAAACTAGAGAAAAACAGGGTTGAATTGTGTGTTGCAATTATACTACAGCTATTAGTTACACAGATGAGGCAGCACGGCCAGGAGCCTGGAGTCTGTGCAATGCACACAGCTTCTTGGTGGTAGCTGCT